TTTTGGAAAGAATTAAACGAAAAAATTGAAAAATACAATTTTTAGAATTACAGATTTGAATTTACAAAATCATTGTCAACAGTTTCAAATAAAAGAATTAAAATGTGCAAATTCACATTTTAGGTGTTTCAAGATGGTTTAGATGATGGTGAATCTATCGACCTACGCCAAATCCGCTATACTTCACATTTGACCTACTCGCACGTGGTCTTACAGCGGCTAGATGAACTTTTGGCCGCAGCGCCCGGCCCCCAGCCTGTCCTAGCAGCGGTGCACGGCCCCCTAGCCTGTCCTAGCCGTAACGCTCGGCCCAAAAATTGTCTTAACCTAACCTAACCCTCAAATTATACAAAAATAAACAGCTGGCGTTGGGTCGATATTGCAGTAGGTCGGAAAGTAAGTAGGTCAGAAGTTCAGTAGAGGGATGTTGCGTATAGACGATGTAACATTAACGATGTTCTTAAGTACGTTTAGTTTACAGGGCGGTAAATTGCGGAAAAAACTGGACAGAAAAAGTAACTTTAATTACACATGTGTTACAAAGTGTGCCCAGAAACAAAATGAATCTGTAAGAAACTTTTTAAAATACTTTTTAATATTATTTTAAGAATTGGTTGTATTTTAATAAATCAGAAACAAGTAAGTTTTATTTTCTAAAAAATAATAATTTAAATTTTCTATGATATAGCTCAAAGGGCATCATAATAGAGTAAGATGGAAGACGAAAAGATTAATAAAAAATACAATAGAATATAACAAAAATTCCGAAAAACTATTAAAAGAATCAACCATTTGTGGAAAAAATGTATCTAATTGTTTTTTAGTTAGTTTTTTGTGGACAGCTGATTTAGTAAAAAAAATATTGTGAAGACGGAGTCGGAGATGAAACAAGAAAAGAATGTTTGAAAGATAATTAGATTAAAACTTTAGACAATGGATGTTTTTACGGTAAAGAATTTATAAACGCAAAGAGGATGAAAAAGTTCAAAAATAAAATAAAAATCATAAAAAATGAGAATAAGGAAAAATGAATACAAAAGGAAATTATAAAAATAGAATATGAAAAATGAAAGTATTGTACAACGACATACCGATCGTAAAGGCTTTTTCTAATCAAGAAAGAATTAAGAGGTGTCCGTCCGGCCCTGGTAATGAAAGGTTTAAGTTTGCTTGAGAGCAAATACTAAAAGGTTAACCCTATAAGACTGGGGGGGGGGTCTGAAGTTCTCGAGAAAATTTTCTAACTTTCGCTAAGAATTTGTTTTCGCGAAATTTTCAATAAACAATTTTGCGAATTTCAAACCTACTTAAAATTATAATTATAATTCAACTGCAATGAAAAAAACTTGCTCAGATTTTTAAGGTTAAAAATGTATCCGTTAGGTTCATACGAGTTCAATTATGTTTTTCATAATACTTTATTGTATTTTTAATGAAATATAATTGATTTTACTTGTATTTGAGAAGCAATTGTTTTCCGGATATTAGTTGCTAGTTTTCTTTATCTATTAACCCTATAAAGGCTGGGGGGGGTCTGAATCTATGTATATCCCCACCCCCTATAAATAGGCCTTATAGAATAGGTATAGGGTTGAATTGCATGTTCATCGCCCAACTTTTCATTGCTAGCTCGAAGAAAAAAAATTAGACGGATAACTTTAATAGTTTGGGTGCTAGGGACGGTGGAAAAAATGCCTAAAAAAGAGTAAAAAAATGAAAAAATAGTTTTTTTGTTTTAAACAAACATCAAAGTACGTGTGACACATGTTTCTACATAAATTTTGCATGGGCTTTTCAAATATATAATTTTTAGATTTGTAGCTTAAGTCACAAAAAAATTATGGGATATTTTAGATTTTTTATTTCAAAGACCGGACTTTTTTTCCGCCCTGTATACTACCCTATAAATTAAAAAAAAATATTTTTTTAACAAAAATCCTTTCAATTACTATTCATTAAAAGTCACAAAATTACACGGTGATAGTGTCAAAAATGAGAGTGCTAGGACAAAAAAACGCCCAGTTTCCCAAATTTCGTACAACGAAAATTTTGTTGGAAACTTTACCCTGCAAATTACAATATGCTTACGATAAAAGAAAAATGTAAGAAGCCATTTTAATACCATGCTAAATTCAAGAAAAATATAAAGATTGGACTTTGAAACAATTAATATTTTAGTTCTTTTAAAACCCGGAAATAATATTTACATATTTTTTACATTAAGAACTAAAAAAACTGTTTAATAATGAAGTAGTAAGACCTGCAATTCAGGAATATGTCATGAATATGTCAATCAACTTTACTTCTTACTTCCTGACACTTTACAATTTTTCAAGGTAATTAGATGAATTGATAAAAAGAGATTATTGTCTGTTTGAGAATTTTTTACGCCCTGTTGGAGTTTGAGTTTCCAACAGGATATTTCTTTTTGCCAGGTATTATTAAATCTACATGAGAAATATGTATCTGATTTTGGTTATTATGATATGATTAAAAATATTTTTTAACCGTTTTTTCTTAATGAGTTAAAATGTCTTGTTCTACAATGTACAATGCTCGAACCTTTTTACTTTTCCACTGTCATACATGAAAAGAAATGTTTTAAAACGCAAAATGTAATTAAAATTTTGCAAATTGTCCCTTTCAAACTAAATCTAGATTAAAACTGCGTTGTAGTTCTAAACTGAAAACATGCATAATTTTCATAGCTTTCTAGATATGTGTGGGATGGAATCCAAAGATTCGAAACTAGCCAACACAATTTTTTTATTTGAGCTTTTTGTATAAAATCGATTTGGATCGAAAGCCTTGCAAGTTTTTTGGAACCACCCCATCAACTCAAATACTTAAGGGGTTAGGGCTCTAAAATCTAAAAATTGAACTTGCCTTAAAGGGACTGTAAAGGAAAAATGAAAGGGGGTATAGGATTAAACCTGAGATTTTTAGGTTTTGAACGATACCTATAAGACATCAATCTTATGTTCCAGTTTCTAGAAATTGACATAAAACTGTGTCAAAATTATACCAAAATGAACATATGTCAGATTTTATAAAAGTTGGAATATATTTAAAAATATTATCAAATATATCTATTAAGAATGCAAAATAAAAATAAAAAATATAATATGAGCAAACCTGGGTTTTTCAGGCTCTGTGGGATATAATCGTTTTTAGATTGGTTGCTTAATTGTTGAATATGATCCGTTTAATGCTTCAACTTTTATACGAAATCTGACATATATGTCCGTTTTGGAATAATTTTGACACAATTTTATATCAATTTCTCAAAACAGGAACATAATATAGATGTCTTCTATACCCCTTTCATTTTTCCTTTACAGTCCCTTTAAATATTCGTATGAATCACACTCCCCTTCTGTACTATAACGGGGGGGGGGGGGAGTCCAATCGTGATAGGATTTATAGAAAATTTCAATCTGCATAAAAAAGTTCATAATTAATTACAATATTTTTGAAGGCTTGGTTCATGATCAATACCAACTAGAATTGCACTAATTAATTTATTTTGTAGTTCTGCAACCAAAAACTAAATTTCTTTACAAAAAAATTTTTTCTTTTATTTTCTTTTCCTTATGTAATGTAATGTAATGTTATTTCAAACTATGAATTCTGTTGGATTAAATAATCTAAACTTGAAATATCAAAGGTTTCCACCATCATCCTGTATGTAAGATAAAGTGATTTTAAGACGGCAACATTTAAAAATAGTTTTTTCTTCTTTTTTGATTGTTTAAAACTTGGCTGCTCTAGCACCACCAACCGGCCCCCCCCCCCCCCCCCAGAGTCATGTATTAACCAGACTAAAAGCTGGTTTCTATGAGTTTAAAACTCTAGAATTTATTATAAATATTGGTAGTCGTATATTGGAACACACACCGGTAGCATCAGTGATAAATATTTCAACACAACTTTTCTTAATATTTCTATCAAACTTTTCAGTTCTTTTTATTCAATTCTTGGTAATATTTATTACAGGGTAATCATCGTGCTTTAATGTTAAATTAGCTGACTATGTGCTAAAAAGTTTAATTAATTACCAGATTTTCTGCAAACTTTTTTTGTGTATTTCTAGAATATTTATTTCATTCGAAATGAAAATTTATTTGATATTATCATTCATTTTTTAATAATGTTTTGTATAAAAATTTATTAGATCCATATAAAAAAATAGCATCAAGACAAGAAACAAGGGCGTTTACAGAGGGAGGGGCAAGGGGGCAGTGACCCCCTCAGAGCTGTCACACTTTTAAAATCTGAAACTGAAGAACATAAAATCATTAGTTTGCTGTTTTTTGATATTTTTGTTTGAAGGAGAGATAAAGTAGTAGTTGTAAGGTAATTGGACTGTATGTGTACTTTTAAAGTATCCAAGAAGCCAAATGTTTTTACAGTTCAAACTCTTAGGGCGGGGTGGGGGGTTGGTCGGCAAAAAAATTTTTGCCCCCCCCCTAGATTTACTTTTCTATACGCCCTCGAAAAGAATGTACACAAACATTTGATAAAATTGACACGTCATGTGGACTTGAATTTCCTGAGTTCTTAACTTTGTGAAAAGTTCATATTTTTCTTATGTAAAAACAAAACCTAGCTTTAATTGTCGTTTTCAAAAGAAAACAAGCATATAACTTTTTACAATTCGTATAATCTAAAAAATATTACAACATTGACTGATATAAACATAAAGAATAGAATATATATTAGAGGGGAATTTACTAGAAAAAAGTGTAAAACGGCCATTTTGTTGTACTGNCCCCCCCCCCTCTCCAAGAAATAATTGACTAAATAAACAAGCATTGGAAGCCTTTCCCTTAACTTAAAGATTTTTTTCCATGGGGGGCGGACGTAGATAGATTGGGACCCCTCAGCCTTTAAATAAGGGTAAACCTTGGGTAAAATGTTGATTGTTCATAAAAAGTGACAGAAGACGTCCTTTCATAAAACGTATTTATAATTAATAAATAAGCTTTTTTATTTTTGTTTTAGGTTAATTGATTCAAGAACCACGAATCTCAGAAATATAAGATCATTAAACAAAGATGAAATTAGTCAAGAAAGTTCAGAGAAAGGTATAATGTGATAAATTTAAAAAATAAAATCATATTTTATACATTTTAATATTTCCTTTAATTCTAGTTGGAGACTTAGATTTCTTGGAATCCTCAATACCTCAGGTGATGCATGGTTAAAGGGACTTTCATGGTTTTTAACTGGTTAAAGGGACTATTCACGGGTTTTAAGTGTTTAAAGGGACTATTGACGGTTTTTAAGTGGTTAAAGGGACTATTAAAGGTTTTTCACTGGTTAAAGGGACTATTAAAGGGGTTTAAGTGTTTAAAGGGGCTATTGACGGTTTTTAAGTGGTTAAAGGGAAAGGGACGTTTACGGGTTTTAAGTGGTTAAAGGGACTATCCACGGTTAAAAGTGGTTAAACGGTATCTTTCTTTTATTATTAATGGGGATATTTTCTTCACCTGAAAATAGAAAAGTTAAATTTTAAGTTTTAAAAAAATTGTAGAAAAAGTAGAAAGAAAATTGACATAATTTATTACTTTTCAAGATAAAACAATTTGGGATATTCCTCATTTTTATTTAGAAATTACTTGCCTTTAACACATAACTTTTTCAGTTCTTTTGAACTGTTTGAATCAACATTTAAAAAAATATCTGTTTGCCTTTTATCATATGCTATAATTTATAAATTGATATTTTTTCAAAACTTTCTTTTTAATTGCAGAGCCGAAATAGAAGGTCAATTCTGGGTATACCCTTCCCAAGTGCAGCAGGTACAACAAATTTATTGAAAAGAAATTTGAAAAAAGAAATCTGAATTCGGAGAGAGCTGAATTATTTGCATCCACAATAGCATACAATTGTTTGAATGTTTATGAATTAAGAAATTGAAAAAATACCGACATTTTTTGTTGCTAGATTTTCAAAAAACGGTTAAATTTATCTTAAATTATTCTTTTAAATTTTAACCGGCCTTAAACCTTCCCTGTGTGATGTGAATTAACACACACAATTGGGGGAGGTAAAACTCCTTGATATTTTCTTAAAAACTACTCAATGAAAAGTACAGATGCCCTTCAGTTCAGTTTCCTCTCTTTGTTAACGATCGTTAACGAAGGGGTCGTCGTTAACGATCGATAACGAAGGGTCGTCTCGACGAATTTTATAAAAAGGATTGTTTTGAAAAACGATCGTGTTTAAAACCGAGCGTTTTGAAAACGACCATTTTTAAAAAACGGACTTTAAAAAAACGATCGTTTTTAAAAACGATTGTTTCGTTTTTGATTTTTAGTCGTCATTTTCATAACGAAACGATCGTTTTTCTGAATAATGAAAACGTTAACATTCACAATCCATTCAGCCTTTTATAGTTAATTCATACATACACAAACAAAAGCAAAACATTTACAAGATTTTGTTTAGTTGTTCAACTTTTCCCCCTGCCCTTTCTTCCAACCAACCTCATTGGATTTCAAGTGAGTTTTAATAATCTTAACCCTAAACAGGCTGGGGGGGGGGGCCTTTGGCGCCCCCATTCTAGTTTTATTGCCCTAGCATTCTCTTTTTTGAAACTGTAAACGTGATATTTTTTTATTTTTAATAAATAAAAATTAAAAGGATTTTTGTAATTTTGTTTATGCACAGGGTAGGGTACAGGGCGGTAATCTGTTAAAAAAAATCTGAAATAGTCAATATCTTTTTTATGACTAAAGCATCAGATCTAAAATCTATATTTTTGCAAAGCCCTTGAAATGTAGAAACACTTTGAGCTTTTTTTTCAATGAGCTGGCTTTGAAATATTGGGCTATGCACATGCATTTTAACCTAATACCTATTCTCAAAGGCCTTTTTCTAGGGGGCCGTGAGACGCCCCCCCCCCAGCCTTTATAGGGTTAAATAATTTTTATTGTTTTTGATATTTTTTATTAGTTCTTAGTGATTTTAAGTAATTTTGAGAAATATGTAGTAATTTTAAGTAATTTCAGAAAGTTTAAGTAGTTTTTAGTAATTTTAGTACGCTTTATTAATTTTTAGTTAATTTATGTAACTTTTAGTAATTTTTAATAATTTCAATAACTGTTAAAACACAACTTTTCATCATATTTTTATTTATGAAGACATTGCGTGATTTACAAGTATTGCAATTGAAGTCGTTAACTAGGCACCCTTTGTTTACCAGTTTTAATAACAATTAAAACTTTTTTAAAACTAAATAATTTGTCTGTTTGTCTTTAAAAATGAAAATAGAATACTTTACTGATAACAAGGGGTGTTTTAGTGCCCCAATCATCCGAGATTTTAATTTGTCTATAGATATCTAAGAAAATATATATCTAGCTTGTAAAGGTATGTAAACCATAATTTAACCATTTACAAATCAGAAGACTGATCATTGTCATCAATCGCTAATTTTCTAATTTTAATATGAATTCAACCTGATGGTGTAAACCTATTATACCTTATCTTTTTAATCTTCCAGAGTAAAAGTTTTAAATATCATATGTCTACATTATCAGATTGCAAAGATATAATAATGTGGTGCCGGCGCGTGATCAGTATCTTCCTATCTTAAACAAAGTTTTAAAATAATTCTGAAACTGCTATTTTTAGTTAATATTCAATCCTCCTAAACCTAAACCTGGAGCCCCTGCCCCCACACCCTCTAAACCTTCACCTTCAAGATACCCACCCGGCCCCTCCAATCCTTCACCATCAAGATACCCTCCCCGCCCCTCTGATCCCTCGCCCTCAAGATACCTTCAAAGACCACAAACAAATTACAAGAGTCCTCAAAAACCTCATTATGTTCCAAGAAGCGGCCTCCCCCTGTCCTACAATGGACTCCCAGTGCCTCCTCCCACAGCTCGTGTTGACCCCAATACTATTGAATACAATGGCTGGATTCCTTACCATAGTTCTTAGATCAACAGATTACTATGGTTTAAAGGGAAGAGTCACGATTTTCAACAGGACACTCTCTTTCTAGACACTGTATGCAACATATTTAAGCTTAAAGAGACTGTTGTTGTTATTTCAAATAACCACTAGTTCAAGAGGGGAATGTTGCAATTCACAAAGGATCCCTTTTAAACTCTTGTCTAACAAAATAATCAAAATCAAATAACCCTGATATTGATACTTTCATCTTGGTGGTTTCTTTTTTAAAGTGACAATTGCACATTTATGCAGCGAAAATAAAGAAAGAAATTGTCAGAATTGAAGTCTTTATTTGACAGGGTCGCCTGATATTATGTCGACCTGCCCCTCTTATGGAATAATAAGCAATATTTATGCCATATATTCTAAATCTTAAGCGGCTGTAATAAAGAAAACTTAATTTAGAACTTTTTTTTAATCACTATGTTCGCTCTTCACCTCTAGTCAAGCCATTCACACTGTTACCAATAGTCTCACCTAACTGATTTTATAACTGTTAACCACAAATACATAGTTTTCTATTCGTCAAATAATGAATCTTTAAGAAACATTATTCATCTAATGTGCTATTTAATTAAATAGTTATTATTTTGTGATTTCAAATGTTGATAATTTGCTAAGGGCATTTTGTATGTTGTTATTTATTCTTTAAAAGCAGTACTAGTATAGTATATGAATAAAAATCAATAAAGCAATGCACTGAGTTTCCCAAATATTCAACGAGTCGGTTTTTCTTACAATATATTTATATACAAAAGATACAAACTTTAAATCGAACGATACTAATACAAACTAAATGTTATGAATCTAATCAGTTCTATTAACAGGAGACATTTTACATTCTCATTTTCATCGTTTCACTTATACAAATTAAATATTGATAATCAAATTAGTTTCATCAAATAGGGGAATTCTTCAAGGGAACCTTAATTCAAGGGAGCTGAATCACAACTGCCTGTCCCCCTTCGATTTTGCTCCATCCTAGGATCGCATTTAACCCTAGCTACCCAGGGGTTGTTCCGCCCCCTCCCCAACGCTTGGGTCTTCAAGATAACGGAAAATTCGGCGTCGCTTGGGTTATTTATAGAATCCAAATGCAAACTCAAATAAATCCGTTAGGATTCAAAATAGGACTCTAAAGTCCAACCGTAGGGTTAAAGATGGGGGGGGGGGGGGAAAGGGGGCATGATTCCCCTTGGTAGCTATGATCTCAGCGATCCAAAAAATCCTTGAATTGCTGATCGTAAAAGATCAACAAAACTCGCCCACTGTTACACTAGTTTAATTATTTAATATTTTTTCTATTGTTATTTTTGTTTATTTATTTGTGCTGTGCACACTTCAATGCAATAAAAATAGATCATTGAAATGGTTACTGTTATTATAACTCACCCTTTATATAAAAATGGTGAGTAAAAAAAGTGTCATGATACATTTTTGCTGCAATATGTTTTAGAAATGTTTTAATTTTTATGCAACTAATATTGCTCTACACTAGTATTGGGTTTCTAGGGAAATGGAAAAAAAACATCTGCATTTTGTGCGCACATTTTTTATTCCGCAATTTTGCGCATTTCTTATGTGGATAAAAAATCACGGAAATTTCCGTTTTTTCGAGCAAAAGTTCGGAATTTTCGAGAAACAAAAAATGCGAAAATCCCGCACAAATACTTGTATGTTCAATGAAATACTTCTTACAGAAAAAAATAACGTTTTTTCAAAAGCTTGCTTTAAAATCGTTCGTTCTGTTATTTTTTTATCTTTTAGAAATACTGTTCGATCTTTCATGATCGTTCCATCAATTTTAAATCAAATGTTTAAAATTTTTTTTTCGTTTTTTCATCTGTCTGAAAGATGCAAGTCGTTCGTCCAACAACATCGTTCACAAAAACAATGCCCATATTTAGCAGCAATAATATGGTTAATGCCCATCTCTAGCAGCAATAATATGGTTAATGCCCATATCTAGCAGCAGTAATATGGTTGATGCCCATCTTTAGCAGCAATAATATGGTTAATGCACATATCTAGCAGCAAAAATATGGCTAATGCCCATCTCTAGCAGCAGTAATATGGTTAATGCCCATCTCTAGCAGCAGCAATATGGTTTATGCCCATCTCTAGCAGCAGTAATATCGTTAATGCCCATCTCTAGCAGCAGTAATATGGTTAATGCCCATCTTTAGCTGCAGTAAAATGGTTGATGCCCATCTCTAGCAGCAGTAATATGGTTAATGCCCATCTCTTGCAGCAGTAATATGGTTAATGCCCATCTCTAGCAGCAGTAATTTGGTTTATGCCCATCTCTAGCAGCAGTAATATGGTTAATGCCCATCTCTATCAGCATTAATATGGTTAATGCCCATCTCTAGCAGCAGTAATATGGTTAATGCCCATCTCTAGCAGCAGTAATATGGTTAATGCCCATCTCTAGCAGCAGTAATTTGGTTTATGCCCATCTATAGCAGCAGTAATATGGTTAATGTCCATCTCTATCAGCAATAATATGGTTAATGCCCATCTCTAGCAGCAGTAATTTGGTTTATGCCCATCTCTAGCAGCAGTAATATGGTTAATGCCCATCTCTATCAGCAATAATATGGTTAATGCCCATCTCTAGCAGCAGTAATTTGGTTAATGCCCATCTCTAGCAGCAGTAATTTGGTTAATGCCCATCTCTAGCAGCAATAATATGGTTAATGCTCATCTCTAGCAGCAGTAATATGGTTAATGCCCATCTCTAGCAGCAATAATATGGTTAATGCTCATCTCTAGCAGCAGTAATATGGTTAATGCTCATCTCTAGCAGCAATAATATGGTTAAGAATGCTAGGGGGAGTTGTACAGAGTATACAGACTTTAAATGGCTAAAACAGGAAAATGTGTATAATAAAATAAAAATAATTATAATTAAAAATAAAAATAATTAAAGTATTATAGTTTGCACAAGATGGCACAAATCACGGTTTTTTACACACATTGTATTATGTATTTATATCTATATAGAATTAAAAGATGTATGTTTATACATATATCTATACTAAACAAACAGAATTACAATAATAATAAGTAAAATCATTGACGTGCAAACCATGAAACCAATAATTTATATCTTTCATTAAGTAACATGCTTTTATTGTTAAAAAAAGAGTTATACAAAATATTTTATTGAAAACTATTGTTTTCTTTCAAATGCTGAAAGACAAAACATGAAAAACAACAGACCTTGAAAGGATAATCTTTTGTGGGAAAAGCTTAAAATTATAAAAATTACTCAAATCAATATTTATAAAGTTGTAATCTCTATTTGTCTGTTTGTTTTTTCGATCAGATCATAACACAAATTTAATTGATAACCTCATGAAAACCACGGGAATGTTCTTAGCCTTGTTTTAAGATTCTACATTGAGTTTGTTCGACTATAGGGGAAAAGGTAAAATCGTACTTTCTGAAGAAGCGCGGGTAAACGGTTGGAGTTATCATGGATACCCTGGGCAATGCTGGTTCCCAAGCTAACGTTACATATACTTAGGGATTATAAAATTAGCGTTCCCAAGCAGGTGCTTGGGTTATTTAAACAAAGAAATTGTTTAGCAACTGGACACGTAGCCATATGGGTGCAACACTGCAAAAGGAAACAGGTGCCCCCTAACTCTGTTTCTCTTGGTGATCTGGAGCCAATACCACGAGTAAACGGATAAAAAACCACGTTTTTTGACTACAAACTATGCACCCTTCAGATGGTGGGTAGTGAGGGTTATAGAGGTAGGAGAATGCTATAAATGCCAGAAACAATCCTAAAACAAGTGGGAATCGGTACCCATATTGTATACTTTGCTCATATAAAAACCCATGTTAAAGACTGAAGCTTGCTAGTAGTGAGAGTAGTTGCCATTCAGATTCTGCTTCCAGGGGTGGCGGCAGGTTCTCTCAAATATCAGACGGTAGTTGGGGTAGTGAGGGTAGTTGCCATTTAGATTCAACTTAAAGGGTGGGGGTGGGGTCTCTTTAAAACAGACAGTAGTTGGGGTAGTGAGGGTAGTTGCCAATCAGATTTAGCTTCAAGGATGTGGGCGGGTTCTCTCTAAAAACAGATGGTAGTTGGGGTAGTAAGGATAGTTGCCATTCAGATTCAACTTCAAGGGTGGGGGTGGGGGGTCTCTCTAAAAACAGACGGTAGTTGGGGTAGTAAGGATAGTTGCCATTCAGATTCAGCTTCAAGGGTGTGGGTGGGATCTCTCTAAAAACAGACGATAGTTTGGGTAGTGAGGGTAGTTGCTATTCAGATTTAGCTTCAAGGATGTGGGCGGGTTCTCTCTAAAAACAGATGGTAGTTGGGGTAGTAAGGATAGTTGCCATTCAGATTCAACTTCAAGGGTGGGGGTGGGGGGTCTCTCTAAAAACAGATGGTAGTTGGGGTAGTAAGGATAGTTGCCATTCAGATTCAACTTCAAGGGTGGGGGTGGGGGGTCTCTCTAAAAACAGATGGTAGTTGGCGTAGTTAGGATAGTTGCTATTCAGATTCAGCTTCAAGGGTGGGGGTGGGGTCTCTCTAAAAACAGACCATAGTTGGGGAGTAAGGGTAGTTGCTATTCAGAATTAGCTTAAAGGGTGGGAATGGAAACAGACTGTAGCTGGGGTAGTGAGTTGTTGCCAATCAGATTTAGCTTCAAGGGTGGGGGTAGGGTCTCTCTAAAACAGACGATAGTTGGGGCAGTAAGGTATAGCTGCTATTCAGATTAAGCTTCAAGGGTGGGGATGGGTTCTCTCAAAAACAGACAGTAGTTGTGGTAGTGAGGGTAGTTGCCTTTCAGATTTAGCTTCAAGGGTGTGGGTGGGATGTCTCTCCCATCCTTCCCCATCCCATCCCTCCCTATACCATTACTCCCTATCCCATCTTTCCCTATCATATCCCATCCAAATCCCATCCCTCCCAATCCCATTCCATTCATGTCTCACTGATAGAGCAATCATACCATTTAGCTTTTAACAAAAGTTTCTTAAGTTCATGAATAATTTTTCAATCAAAAGACCTTGTTTATAAAATTTATTAATCAACGTAGTTCGGAAATATGTAAAGATAGACCAGAGATTAGAGATTAACCCTATTCCCGCTGGGGGGGGGGGGTCAATTTGCCCCCCCCTGTAGTTTTTTTACATACCCAAAGCCCTCCCTTTAGGCCTAAAACCGGGCTTTAATACTAACTGCCTGAGTCCTCAGGCACACTGCCTGAATGACTGTTTTTGCCTGTAGCAAACTAAATCTTTGTTTTGACCCATTTTCACTTGTCAGATTTTGATAAAATTTAGCTTTTTGGAAAGCCTATGACATAAGGAAACGGATTGCACAAGTTTTGCGAAAAAAAAATTGCAAATTTTTTGCAAACAACCTGTCAAAGGAAATTTGCACATTTTTAGTTTTTAACACCTATAATTTGCGATATTTTCCACAGCATGTTCTATTGTGTATACAAGTACTGTACAAGACCAATCAGGAGACATCTGTATTCAGGGATATTTAAGGATTCTTTGAATAGGAAATGCATAATCTTTAAAAATAGACAATAGTCATAAACATTAAGTTTTATGTTTAACCATATCCCTGCTGGGGTACTTGAAAACCAGGATATGCTGGGGGGGAGGGGGGTCAATTTGACTCCCCCCCCTCTAAATCCCAT